AGAAACCGGGTTTCGATACCCGTGGTGGGCAGAGCACAGATAGTCCTTGTGTAGCTTTGTGTATAATTAAAAAACAACTACAACAAACAACATCTTTCAATGAGAATAAAATCATTATTTATCCGTATTCGAGAAAATATAACAAGTGTTTTAAAATGTGTAACAGTCCGAAGATTTAATAATGATTTTGAAAAATATGTTTTCGTGCTATAATATACTATAGGTAGGGTATACGAGTGATATTTATGGTTGTTGGTTCATAGTTCAATCGCAAGTGGCATATAAACATGCTATCGCAGAAAGTAAATTACTAATAGCTACGTTTTATGAGGACTCTGAGTGTGTGTATTACTATTGTTTTTTACAAGCAAGACGAGTTTACTTTCCAACGTAACAATTTTGTAAGTACTTATATGATAACAGTCAGAAACAGAGGTAATTTTTCCTGATATTATCTGTTTAAAAAAAGGGCTTTAAGTTGGTTTAAACTAATGTCCAGACGATGTGTAAATTAATAAAAAAATACTAGAAGAAACATAAGGCACTTTTTAGCCGACACGTCATTTAAAGTACATAATGAATTTAATTAATATAGCATTGGTTTATCCAAAGGCTGGAGCTAATGTCTATAACACAGATTAGTTTTAAAATGTATTATATATTTTTATTTATTGGAAAACTATAACTTGTGTTTCTACCATAATGAACTAATCGAATTCAAGATTTAAAAAGTAAAACTATTTCACACAATTCTGTCAATAGATGGCGCTACAAAATAAAAGAATTTACTTGCGATAGTTATTAAAATTTGCAAACAACATATTAGTCATAACACTCTACAAAATCAGTAAACTCCTATCTTATTACTTTGTATCATTACAGTGTTTCCGATTTTGGAAGCGACTTTGAAAAGTGCAGAAAATATTCTTAAAACATCAAGCATGCCAACAGTATTTTTATAGTTCCTAACTTCAAATCTTAAAAACAAAACAGCCCAACTTTAGTCTGATTTTTATGTCACTGTTTGTTAGACTTAAAATAATTTAATTACAAGGTTCCATATTAAAAATATATGTTTGAAATTAAGCCAATAAGCTCACTTTATTTAAATAAGAAAAATCTCAACCCAATTTCGAGTAATATTCCAGCAAAGCTACAGTCTAAACTGTTAATATGTTATGAATCAAAATATAGATAAAAACATAAAATACAAAATTCAGTTCAAAGTAGAAAATATAAATGGATTTATTCCGATAACTCTGAATAAACTGCAACTGAATACAAAATGGTTTGAAGTTGAACTAGATTTTCCAAGGCCACTAAAAAAATAAATACCGATTATGAAATATTTATAACACAGGCAGAATGTTTTTATCAAACCAGTTTCTTCTACGACTATCACGAAAGCTTCTATACATGTATAATTGGGTAATTGTTTCGTCAATGACTGAGGAAAGAGTGGAAAGATAAGGTTTGCATTAGAGATGAAAATAGTTTAGATTAAGCATTCAGATATTCCCGCCTAGCTACACAAATATTACGATTACGACCATGAACCAAAGCGGAGGAATTCTCTTTTAGGCATAAACAGATAATAATGTATATAAGTCTACATAGATAAAATGTAAATTAGAAAACTCATACTTTATAATAAAAAATTTTGTTATACGAATTCGTGAAATTTATTCAAAGAATATAATAAAAAAGTGTAATTCCTTTGAGAAGAGTAAAAAGGTCTAAGTCGTGTTTAAACTTTTAATGTAAAGCGAGTTTATCTATTTTTTCAAGCGGAATAAGATCTATAGCAAATTTATTATTAGCAATTTTGCTTTTTGAGTGCAAATATTTCCTGTAAATAGCGCCAAATAACGCATAATTTGGATGATAAATAATCAACATAGTTTTTTGACTGTGTACAGAAACATCGATGAAGTCCTATACCTCCTTCCGTCAAACCAAACAAGCTACTTCACTATGGCAACAATCTACTTTAGATTATTACTTTGTTTCAGAAAAAAAAAAAATTTGATTTTTTGTGCAAAGTTACACAATAGGCTATTGTCCACCATGGAGATTCGAACCCTGAATTTTAGCATTGTAAGTCCGATCTTTCCTGCTGCTAACCCACCAATGTACAGCGAAGAAGTTTTTATTTATATCCCAAGTTGCTACAGAGTTTTAAAATGAGAAGAAAATAAAAGCTCATCAGAATTATTTTTTTCTATTCTTTTCACTAAAAATGACAAGAAAAAACTTCAATATGAAAGCCAGAAGAAGACTGACAAATATTAAAGAAGTCAGAAAAATGTTCTCTACTCTCTTGAAACAGAGAGAAAGGAAGTGAAAGAAGTGGAAAATGGTAATAGTTAACTGCTAACAATACGCCGATTTTAAAATCTGAAGGGAAAAAAAAAATCTGAATTACAAATGAAATGCTGTTGGTATGTAGTCATATCAAAAACTGCGTCTTAATTTAACATTAGGTAATAAGGTTTATTATTCTAACCCGTGTATCAGGACAGAACTTTTCTTGATGCGTTGGTTTAAGTAGCAGAAGAGCGGGCAGGCAGCTTTAGTCACACTCTTGCCTGCACTGGGATAGGAGAAGCAGCTATGAAGCATGCGTGTACTTCAAACAAGTCTTACGACGGTGAGTGGCGATACATCGTGGTCCTGTTCATATTTCAATGAATGTATGCCATAGGACGTTAGTGGAAAGTGCTAAAGTTAGGAGATTCAAGAACTGCCTGCTTGTGTCCATCTAGTGTCCATTACAGTGCATCCCATTGAAAAGGGGGTTAATAACAAACCTGCAATTTAATCTTTTCAACAGATGCAAGTGAACGAATGCGAGCAATAGCCATCACCGTGTATTTTTCACGTTATATTCAAGATACTAATTACTATAATATGGTAGCCAGAAGTGTTTAATTTACCCATTCTACATAAAGTTCGAATTCATTCTGCCATAAGTAAAATTCGGAATTATTTTTAAGTCTAGTTTCATTAGACGCACAGAGAACTGAGAACTAAAACTCGGGTTTTCTTCTACAATTTCTTACTGATTGAGTAGCCTGGCCAATTTTGGATTTTTATCGGACATGTTTTCATTATCTACGTATCTCGCTTTTAGCACGTGGTTGTGCCTCTGTCCATATCACACGCACGCTGTGTCTGCTAGCACGAGCAGACAACGTTTACAGAGTCTTCTAGGCCAGTCATCTTACTCGAGTTCTGTAACCCCAGAAAGTAAGGTAAACTGTTTCTTCTTCTTTCTTTTCTTTTATTATCAATTGATTTAGCGTACAAGCGTTCCTGAGAATTTGAGGGGCGTATCAACGCTTCTTTCTCTACAGTATATCATATGTTTGGTAGTCTTTTTCAGTTAACCTGTATGTAGTCTTTTTCAGTTAACCTGTATGTAGTCTTTGATGTGTATATGGTCTAAACATCTTCGTTAATTAAATTTCTTGAAAATGATATTTCTTTTTAAATTACCTTTTTAAAAACAAGATGTATATTGCGATAACCCTTACGATGTAGGATGTACATCTCGAATACCCAATGAAATTTCCTTTTCCTGGTATATTAAATCAAATATACTGAACACTTTTATTTTTCTAGAACTTACATAATGCTTTGAGCCGAGCCATGAACAATAATAATTTGGCAACTGTTCGTGGTTCTGCGAAATTTTCGAGGCTAAACAGTGATCCTGATTGATATCTTTACTGTGGCTGATTAGTAGTTAATTCGTTCTTGAATTTACGTGTCTTAAAATGCTTACAATCTAAAACGCTCAATAACATTTTTAAAAATCTAAAGGAGTTCATAGTTATCCAAACATATGGCATATGGAGTATATTTCACTTAGCTCAGAGACAATAAATTAAATTTTTTTGAATGTCTTAGCTGTTAGCAGCCATAACTGTGAGGTATGCGATTAGGTTAACAAGTGTGGCGTGAGTTCTTCACGAGAAAAACAACAAGAAAAGCCAATCAAACTTCATTTAACTTTTTTAGAATAGCATAACTCTGGACTCTGCGCGAGGGCAATTTTTATGTCAAGTGGTATATTAGATGTAAAGATTATAAGTGGTACACACTGGTATTGTCAGAAAATGCTATCCCTTCAGTCTTGTTTTTAACGAGTTGCAAAGCAAGCAGAAAAATTCCGAGTTATGATCCGGTCAGTCTGATTATCTATCATAACCTACTTCCAGCTTTATAGAAATGGACACTTGACTAATCGTAGTGATTTATGAGTACGGCCAAGATGGAAACGTTGATAGCTGGGTATGATCTAATGGTTAGATTGCTGGATTGTGGATCGTAAGGTCCAGGGTTCGAGCTTCATATCGCATTTTCAGCTATGTTGACTTCATGATTATTGACCGGTTGCTCTTACTCTGGTTAACAGTTCTAACTTAGTGATGCCCGAACCTTGGAATCTCTCACGTCGACAGTTAGAGCATGTGTTGCATAAGGTCTTGTGAAAATGCTAAAGGCAATAGTTGAATTAATGCGTAATGACATGTACAAAGGTTTATTTATTAATTAATTTAATTTATTTTATAATTCATTTGCTTAGTCTTTTAGTTAATATATTACTATGGCTCTTCGTATAAAAGTTTCGTATTTAAGTTAAGTTGGTTAAGTATTTCGATTCATTATATCTAAACTTATTCAATAACTTGAAACTTAAAGAATTCCTAAAATATAAATAGGACAACATTGTGCAATTAACTTTAATTAAAAATATAGGTAAAACAACGTTTACATTACACAATAAATATTTTTTTAGTTAAAAATAACTACATATTTCGGTAGCTTCCACTACCATCATGATGATGATGGTAGCAGAAGCTACCGAAACATGTTAAGTCATTTTTAGTTTTTAAAACATTTTATTGTGTAATGTAAACATTATTTTACCTATATTTTCAATTAAATAATTCATGTTTTGCATTGATTATTAAGTACTTTGATTAAGCCTACCTTATATTTCTGGCCTTAATTTCGGGACGCGTTAACACCAACTGATATTAATACGATCTACTTAACATTAAGTTTATGTTTGGTGACTATGTTTCAGTGTAAATCGTATTATGATTTTTATTCATCTTTATCTCAACTCCAATCAAACGAAGAGTAACTTAATATATAAATACATACAAGTTCCACTGAATAATGTGCTTTATGCACGGGTATTTCTGGTTTCAATTGTGATGAGAACAAATATAACAACTTCCGTGTGACTTATTTGTACAACACAAGGGAACATTGTTATTTAACGTGTGGAATTTGAAACTGGCCAAATACTTAAGTTAAACAAGCAAGGTTATTAAATATATATAAGAAACTCGGCAAAACTAGTTAGTGGTCGAAAAAAAAAATTAATACGTGGAAAGTCTTGCAAGAACACTTACAACAGAAAATCAATTTCATTCGTCTTTAGTTGAGAGGAGAGATTTATGTGACATGAATTTAGCGAGATATTATATTTGACTTTTGACACTTTAAATCAGCAATATATTGCACTTACGATCATGTGTACACTATATCATTATAAAGAAATTCGGACACTGCACCGTGAGAAGAGAGTTGTTGGGTTAATCACGTTTCTGGAGTCCATTTTTTAGTAGGGTGCGAGCCCACTTTCAGTGTTAATTACAACCTGGATTCTGTTTCTAATACTTGCTACCAACTGTTGCTGCACTGCTACTCCTCTTATGGAGCAGCTCCAAAATTAATGAAATTTATGAGGCTGTTCTTTCTGTTCCTTATTCAGAATTTCACAACGTCTTATAACAGCTGCAATGGATCCAGGTCGGGATTCTAATGCTACCCAACTATATTCTGGATGGTATTTTCCTCAAGCCATTGCTGAGAACAGAGTATGCTTTGGTATAATACGTTATGTTCTGTAAGAAGTACAGGCCTCCATTACAGAATTGCACGGGCGTATACTTTGCATCGTTGTACATAAAACGTCACAACAGAACAAGACTTCTATGGATCTCTGAAATCTCATCAGCAGAGTAACCCTAAATGAGTTCACACCTTGATATTACTCTTTTAGATAAAGATAACACAGTCATATTCAAGATGTTTATTGTGTTTGTATCAAATCTAAACCCACCCATCCAAAGTAAACAAGGAGTAGCATAATTCATCGTTCTAAATGATTGTCTTAATTTTTTCATCGCCCAACCTCAACGCTCAACGAACCATGAAAGCAAACGCTTTGCATTCACGGATATGATAAGTAGCTTATGGGCTGTAGCACATCCACGTAATCCGGCAGCGTGATATACTCTGCACACAGTGATTGTGATGATCTTCAGTTTGGAACTCTTATTAAAGTTCTGAGGGATAGAATTAAACTAAGATGTGAGGTTTTCTTTTCAAAGTTTACGTGGACCAAGAAGGGATTTATATTTTAGCCAGATGTCAATCCGATTGAATACGTTCATTGGTATCTCATTTCTTCAGCACATGACTTCTAGAGGATCTGGATACGAGCAACGAGCTGAAATATATCGGACACTCATTTCATCAATGTTACATCTAATAATTGCTCCGAGTTAAAGATTCGAGAGCTCTTCTTCTCGTGGTATCTCGATTCCTTCTAGTTAGTTGCATCAAATGTTGACCTTTTCAACCATAAGCAACATCTTATTGAATTCACATATAAATATAATGTAGGCAACATTATACATGTATTTAAAGAACAAATAACACACAAATATTCATTATATTCAAAAATAATAAAAATCTTTATTGTTATCATTACTCAGAAATGCAAAGTATAAATTAGTTTCATCACAAATGTTAGTATAACAACAGCCAATTTTCAAATAATACATATGAAATGTGTCTATATATTTAATTACGCTTTAATAGCGTTCCAAATTGGAGGATACTTTGTCATGAATAATCATTATATGAGAATAAAAACTGTACATTAAATACATGTTTTTTCACAAATACATTACTAGTATTTACAGTCTTGCTATTACCCAAAAGTCATGAACCATGCTTAGTCACATCGGAGGAAAATGTGGCATTTATAGACTCCAGATGGAGCAATCTCTGAAATATAAACATGGTAAAATATGGATATGTATTGCATGGTAACCTTAAAATTATTTACAGGGATTAACCTACTCCACCAGGCGTAGACCTGAGGGGGGGTGACGCCCACTCTGCTTCCCTGGTTTCTCCATCTAAGCTTACGTTGAGTTTTCTGTTTGGTATTTCACAGATTTATTAAATAATATTGAATCAACTTTGACGCAATTAGGTCTAGATTAGAAGCGTTTTCGAACAATTGCTATTTTCATTACAAGCAAAGGTTGGTTGGTTGGTTGTTTGGCGTTTTATGGCGCAAAGCAACTAGACAATGTGCGCTCACCAGCAAAGAGTGGAACTTCAGTCAATTGTTATGATGAGTATAGGAAGTATTGTCGTACATTATTTAAACTGCTTTTATCTCTGCAATAAGCCACAATTTTTGTTTAATCCACAGACCTGCAACTAATTTACAAATTAGTGAAACCCGATAAATAATTTAAGCGCGTGTTATGATTTGCTCAGTGGCACAATTCTGTTGGCAAGGTTTGCGTATTAAGGACAGGAACTGTGGCACAATTCTGTTGGCAAGGTTTGCGTATTAATAACAGGAACTGTGGCATTCATTAAAAGGAAGTTGTCTTCATTTAAAATGTCACATGCAAGTTTTCTAAGTTGCCTTTTTCTTTTTGCGAAAGCAAGCTTCTTCGAGGCTAAATATCTCACGCAACCACTACACGTGCAGAATGATATCGTGATTCATCAGATTATTGGTAAGAAACAAATAACGCTGTAACTATATCAAAGAAGTCGTTGTGATTATTTGAAAAGTATATCTAACTAGCTATGCTCATTACTGGTTATGTTTTTAGTTCTGATCTATGTAAGGATCCCGCTTTGATCAGAAGTTGATATTAATTAACCTTGAATATGAATATTATTCAGTTAAAGACCATTTTATACATTTTACGTGATGTTAACCCTAATGAGCATCAACTTCTCACTGTTTATAGAGAAATATGTTAACAGTATCAAACTAAAAATACTGAAAACTAAAATATACTCTTAACAGAAAACTGAACACCGAAAAACAATGTTGTAATTAATGATGTAGAAATTCTAGGTGTTAGGCACCTACGCACCTACCGTTATCATCTTGTATTAGAAGGAAAGTGTTTCC